TTTGCCACCGGCGGCCTGCAGGCCAGCGCCGAGCAGCGGACCGACTGCTGACCGACTGCTGACCGACTGCTGACCGAGGCAGCGCCCACGGCAGCGCCCACAGCAGCGCCCACGGCAGCACCCACGGCAGCACCCACGACAGCGCCCACGGCAGCGCACACGGCTTGGCTGGCCATGTCAGCCGCGCAGGGACCCTCCCGCGGGTCCAACCCGAAGCGCTCGACCGCTCGACGGCGCAAGTCGGCTGACGGAGCGAGCCGCATAGCCCTCCAGTGCTCACCGCAGGATCAGGCCCGACCGGCCCACGCTCACGGCCTGGCCTGCCTGTGGACCAGCAAACTCGTTGGCTGTACGCGAGCAAAGAGCTGCGTGGCTGGGTTGTGAGCATACCGTCCCCGTTGCGCCCTTTCCCTCAGTGGAGGGCCGTCCCTGCCCTCGGGAGTAACTCGACTGTACACCCCTCCCTACTCTCTAGCTAAGGGCTCTGTTCACAGCGGGGGGGCAGTGGTTGTCCTGGCGGAGTCCTGGCGGAGTCCTGACAGAGTCCTGACAGAGTCCTGACAGAGTCCTGACGGAGTCCTGACAGAGTCCTGACGGCCTATTTTGGAGGTTTTCAACTTTGAGGTATTGTTACTATGTGAGGGTGAAATGAATGAATCAGTTCTTTGGGACAGTGCAATCCTTTAATTATTATCTCCAACTCAAAAAAAGTCTGATGTCAAACGGACAACGGGGTCCCTTATGGTGGCCTGTAAGGGTAAGGTGCGGGAGGTCCACAAACCAGGTTCGGGTAGCGTTCGACTGGAAATTTGACGAGGGGGATTGGGGATTTGTGTGTGCGGTTCATCTTCATGGCGGGTTTACGCTTTACCATTATATTTATAAAAGAGACAAGAGCGGTGCTGCGGGAGAACGAGAGTCGAGACGCAAGACGCAACACCAAAAGATTTGTGTATGTATAAAGAGTGAGTGCAGTCACGTGCAGTCGATCGGACAGGGAGTTTCTTTTTTTAGCCCCGCATAGGTCGATTCTGCGTTCAAGTCTTTTATATCAGGCCAAGTCTTTTCTTCTCGAGCTACGCCACGGCGGCAAATTGAGAGGGCCGATAGGAGGTAGGTAGGAGCTACGGTAAAGGGTGTGGATGCTGGGTTGACGGAAATCGGGAGACGCGACCCACTTCGCCACAGACGGTCGCGCGCCTCGCCGCTAAGACAGTGGCACGCACCGCGCTGCGTGCCACTGTCTTTGTCCGGAGTGAAAACTCCAACGCGCTCGTCGGTGACGGTGTCCCTCAACCTGCGCCGCGCTCGGCGAACCCCTCGACAGCGCCTTCGGTGGCATGCAGCTCTTTGCAACAGAACTACAGAAGCCTGGAGAGCAGCTCCTCTGCTGCTCACACACTCTGCACAGTTGACACAGCCTACTGTGCGGCTGCCACAGCTGTGACAGCGATGGGCTCGCCCTCACTGGCCCTCAGTCACTTGTGCTGCGGCTTGTGTGAGCGACACTGCTCGGCGACTGCCGGCACACTGTGAGACCACATGGGTGTGAGGTAAAACCACGCTACCAGCGCTTGGTCACATCGGCCCCGAGGTCAGATTCTTCTACTCTGTTGATGACAAGACACTTGTCTACCGGCTGGAGCCGAGCAGGAGGGCCCGGCGCACAACCCCCTGGTCAACGGACAACGCTCGCACCCCCTCCACACACCACACCTCGTAGGTTGGTGTGCTAGGTACCTTCTCTCTCTCTCTCGATCTCGTCGAAGAGAATGGTCCTTTTGCTCTTACACGAGGAGAGCTCGATAAACTGGAGGGGCCAAAATACGCTGCGCGAGGAGAGCGGAGCTACGCCTGCAACGGGGAGAAAAGAACTGACCTGATCTCAGAATCACTCGAGACCTTTTCCGGAGCCGGTGGAGGCTCGGCCGGCGAACTCTTCCCCTCAGTATTCCCGCACCGGCGACTGCCACTCGCCTAAGCGCCGCCATCAAGCTCGAGCAGCGCGCGGTTGCGCCGCCTCCCCTCCTCCGTCTGCGGCGGCAGCTTGCCGAGCTGCCGCGCGCGCGCCTCGAGCGCGAGGGCGAGCAGGAGGAAGCCGTCTTGGCGCGGCCGGCCGGTGGCGAGCAGCGCCTTGCGCTCGTAGCGGTACGGCGCGTAGACGTCCTTGTACACAAAGTAGTCGCGCACGCGCAGCGCCGCCGCTTGCATCGCGCGCAGCCGCGGCGCGGTGACGGCGTCGAGCGCCTCCAGCACGCGGGGCAGCTCCGCCTCTGGCAGCCGGAGGGAAAAGGAGGAGTACTCGAGCTCGGGCGCGCCGGCGAGCGAGAAGGCGCCCTCGAAGAACATGGCGCTCTCGTCCTGCACTATGACGGGCACGCAGCCGTGCACCACCTGTTCACAGCTAGAGGTGTGAAGAGACGCTGCTCACACCACGGCGCGGACGCGCGGCGTGCGCCACCGCGTCCAGCACACGCGACGACCAGCCATCGCCCGGCAGGGCGAGGCAGTAGGTCGAGTCGGAGAGCGCGGCGCCGTACCCGCCTGCGTGTGCAGCCCTGTGTGTGACCCGATGCTTGCGTGAGCAGGGGCGCGGGGATGGAGTCGGAGAGCGCGGTGCCCGCCTCTGCGCACGTGCGGCACGACCCGCACGCCCGGCCGCCAGAGCGAGCAGTTTGGGGCGAGGTCGGACCGGCAGCCGGCCGCGTGCTCGAGGCAATCGCGCCGCGGCCGCGGCTCGCGCGGGTCGCAGAACAGCGCCTCCGCCCGCTGGCGCAAGTCGTGCGAGTACCCGGGCAGCCGCTTGGCGCCCAGCTCGCCCGCAAAGAAGAGGTAGGTGCCGCGGCGCCGGCCCGGCGCGGCGAGACCAAGGTCGGAGAGCGGCGCGCGCCAGAAGGAGGGCGGCTTCCACGGAGGCAGCACCAAGTCTTTGCCGCGCTCGAAGCACGCGGCGCCGCCTCTCGGCCGCCCGCCGGCTGGCCGGCCCTCCCGTTTTCCCTCCCGCGGGCCGGCGAGCGGGCCGACGTGCTCCTCGTAGAAGGCGGGCGAGCGCAGCCAGTCGTCGTCGGCGTAGCTGCTCCACGAGAGAGGCCGCCTGATCGATGATTGGCGCATGAGGATCAACGTGAGGACGGTCGTCCGGCTGCTTCCACGAGAGACGGCCCCGCCGCGCGTCGTAGCCGTAGTGGGTGAGGAGGAGCGAGGGGCGCAGCTCGCGAGGAGCGAAGCACGGCGCCTCGTCATGCAGCAGCATCCAGACCTGCAGGGACATGTCCACGACATGTCCGCGACATGTCCGCACCTCAGCCTCGTCATGCAGCAGCATCCAGACGTGGTCCGCGCCGCCGCTCGCGTTCCAAAACGGCAGCGCGCTCCGCACGTACTCCGCGGCGGCGCGCAGCATCAGCGTCGCCTGCTGGACGCGGGTGGCTCCGCGGTGGCGGCGCCCTCCGTAGAGCGGCGCCGTCGATGCTCCGTGTATTGGCCAGAGGTAGAGGGAGGAGACATACACAGGGACGAAGAAGAGGTGCGCCTGCGCTTGGTGTGGGGAGGTGTGGGGAGAGGAGGTGTGGGGAGGTGTGGGGAGGTGTGGGGAGGTATGGGGAGGTGCGGGGAGGTGGAGGGAGGTGCGCCTGCGCTGTGTCGGCCGTGCGGAGCCGCGAGTCGAGCAGCCACTCGTGCAGCGCAGTCTCCATCGCATAGAGGGAGCCCTGCACCAGCTGCGAGGCGCCGTAGACGTTGGTCTCGCGGTGCGGCGCGGAGTGCACCCCCCGGTACTGCAGCAGCGCCGTCGTGAACTCGGACGGCATCTCGTACACGTAGACCCGCAGCGGCGACCCCGCCGCCGCAGACGGCATGCCCTGCTCTTCCTGCCGCAGCGGCGCCAGACGAGGCAGTGGCCTTGCCGACGATGCAGCCTCGGAGCGAAGCGGAAGCGGCGGCGGCGGCGGCGGCGGCGGCGGCGGCTGCTGCTGCTCGTGCGGCTGCTCGTGCGGCGACGGCGGCTGCAGCGAGAGGGAGCAGTCGATACCAAACCATCCTGGCTCACACCAGCAGAAGCCAGCGTCGCAGCGCCCTCGGCCGCGGCAGTCGCGCAGGCAGAAGGCAGGCTTTGGCACCTCGCAAAACGGGCCGCGCCGGCCCTCGGGGCACGCGGGGCCGTGAGCGCCCTCGTCGCAGCGCAGGGCGGGCCCGCCCGCCGCGTCGGCCGACGTGAGCATCCACTTCCGCCGCCGCCGCCCGCCGCCTCGCTTCGCGCCCGCCGCCGCCTCGAAGACGGAGGTCGCGTTGAGCTCCGCCGAGCAGTACCCGCGCACGCCGTCCGAGAGGAAGGGAGCCCAGCGGCCGGCGCGCGCCTCGGCGGGGAGGGGTGGGTCGCCCGGCCGCGAGTCGTACACGAGCGGCCACGGCTTGGCCCACTCGCGGCGCCAGCGGTCGCCGCCCGGCTCGTCGAACCCGGTCCACGCGCCATCCGGCCGCCGCACCGGCAGCGCCGGTCGGCCGTCGGGCAGCCGCGATCGCGTGTGGACTGACGGTGTGCAGCGATCAGGAAGCGGGCGCTGGAACGCCGAGCCCAGCCCGGCGCAGTAACAGTGGCCGCGGTCCTCGTCGCAGTTGCCAGCGCACAGGCTTCGCGAGCGGGCCACGTTGCACGGCCGCGGCGCACGGACTTCGCACCAGCGGCCAGTCCAGCCCGCGGTGCAGCGGCACTCGTCGAGGGAGGGGCTGTGGACGCCGTGGCCGTGGCAGGAGGAGGGGGAGGCGGGAGCGGAGGCGGAGGAGGGCGTCGTACGGAAAGCCACAAAAAGAATTAAAACGAAGGAAGTAGACCTCACAGCCTGGACGGCTAGCGCATCACACTCCTCTCCTTAAAATCCCTGTGTGGTGGCGGCGTGCCGTTCTCCCATCCCTCCCTTGCCCGCACCGTCGCTGTGCGTCGTGCTCCGCAACCGCAGGGTCTGTTGCTCTCTGCCGTGCTCGCGCGGCGGTCCCGCCGGGCCCCGCGCCCTTGCCGCCCGGCCGGGGCTGGAGAGGCTCAGAAGCGGCGCAGCTCGATGCCGCGCTCCTCGCACACGGCCACCAGCTCAGGCTGCCTCGGGTTGTCCACGCCGAGCACCTGCACGCGTGGGGAGGCGCGATGAGCATTGGGCGGGGGAGGGGCGAGTGGCGAGGGGGGCGTCTCGCGCCTTCAAGCTCGGGGCGGCGCCCTCCTTGAGGGCGGCGGCCAGCGCCTTCCAGCCCTCGTCGCCAATCTTGTTGCCGCGGAGCCAGAGCGTCTCGAGCCGCGGCGCTGCCCCCTCCTTGAGGGCGGCGGCCAGCGCCTTGCAGCCCTCGTCGCCAATCTGGTTGCCGCTGAGATAGAGCAACTCGAGCCGCGGCGCTGCCCCGCTCGCGAGGACCTCCGCCAGCTGCGCCGCCTCCGCGCCGCCCCAGTCGAGGCCTTCGTAGTTCAGCACGGTCGCCTTGCCAAACTGCTCCTCGAAGGCGTCCTCGTACAGCTGCTTCACCAGCGGCTTGTCGTCCTTGCCGTTGGTGAAGCTCTTCGACTCCAGCTCCGCCGCGAACGCAGACGGCAGCAGCGGAGGGCGCCGGCCGCCGTCCTGGGTGCAGTCGTCGGTGAGGCTGTCCCAGTTGTACTCCTTGCCGGCGCGCATCTTGCCGAGGTCGAGCGAGAGGTAGCCGGACTTGGTCAGGCTCGCCCAGGCGTTCTCGGTGGCGCACCAGCCGCGGTCAAAGTACTTGGCCACGTTGGTGCCCTCGGCCTGATCCTCCGCCTTGTGGCCGTCCGGGAAGGAGGTCAGCCGCAGCACGTATGTGTGCGGGTGGGAGTAGAGCGTGCCGAGGCAGCCCAGCCCCTGCTTGAAGAGCGCGTTCTGCGCCTCGGTGCGCAGGACGCCGTTGGGGGGGTCGGGGTGCTGGTGCAGCGAGCCGAAGTCCCAAAAGACGCCGAGCCGCATGATGCCGCCGGTGAGGGCTTTGAGCGCCCTTGCGACGCGGGCGAGGTTGGCTCCGCGCGGGTCGGGGTGGTCCTTGGTCAGCCACGGGTACGAGAGCGCGGCGACGGGAAGGTAGGGAGGGTGGCAGTAGTTGGTCGCCTCGACGAGGTCGGCGAAAGAGAGGAAGGCCTCTTTGGGAAGCGCCTGGCGGTGGGTGAGGACGCCGCCCGCCCGCCGCCGCCGCCACAACCGCCCGGTCCGCGCCTTGGCATGCTTGATGATCCACTGCGCGTCGAGGAGGGCGGCGGCGCCGCTCGCGAGGACACGCTCCAGGTCGCCGCCGCCGAGCTTCCGCCACAGCTCCAGTTTCTCCTCGCTCACGCCGAGTTCGGCGGCGGAGGGGAGGGCGGCCGCCGGCTGCGTCGGCGGCGCGGCGGTTTCGGCGAACGTCGGGACGTCGCGGCGGTGGAGGCAGGGCAGCGACTTCGCGAAGCAGGCGCGCATCGAGCGTTGGAACACCTGTGGCTGTGTACGGTCTGTGGGTAAAGTCTGGGTAAAGTCTGGAAAAAAAGTCAGTTTGCGGCTCACCTGATAGCCAGGTGGATGGCCCTGTGAATGGGTGACACACTGAGTACCAAGGTGGAGTGCCAACACCACCCACCTGTAACCGTAGTTGCTTGCCGTGCGGTACACACATGGCGGCAGCGGATGCGCTCGGTATGGCACCGTCCAGCAATCCCCGGGCAGCGACGCCAGCGGACTACGTACACTACGAAGCTCTGATGGTGCTCAGGGGTGCATGATCTTCATTGTTACTTGGACGTTGAAAGCCTGCTCGTGCAGGTGGGGGCCCTGTCCTCCTCCCCCATCCCTCGTTTGGAAAGTGCAAGGCCCGGTGCGCGGTGTAGTAACGCTGGGTGCGCTTCTTATATCACATATCCTCTCTGCTCTCACGAGACAGCAGACACGAGACACACCGGAAGGGGAGAGCGGGGGCGGGCTGGGGCGGGGGCGGCGGCGCGCGGCGCACGCGCGACTGAGGGCAGGGGGTGGGGACTCCCGCCGTGCACACGCTGCGCGCACACGCACCACATACCCTCATGAGACATACTGAGGGAAGGACGGATCGGCGGCGGCGGCGGCGGCGGCAGCGGCGGCACAGCGCGCGCGCGGCGCGCGCGACGGAGGGGCGGAGCAGCGACCGCTGGCAGCGACCGCGCACGGTCGCTGCTCCGTCTGTCCCGGAGCGCCGTCTGCGCGGGGTGCGCGTCAGGACAGGGGGCAAGCGTGGCGGCGCGGGGACACGCACGCGGCTGCGGCGGCGAGCAGGCGAGCGATCCGTGCGCGGCGAAAGGGTGGCGGGGCAAGGGAGCAGCCCACACCCGACGCGTCGCTGTGAGCGAGGTCGAAGAAAGGGCCTGCGCAGGGGCCGCAGGGCGGTCAGTGGTGAGGCGAGGCGGAACTGGCCGCGGGCAAGGCGTTGTGAATGCTACGTGTGTAAGGCCGGTACGGAGGGGGCGCGGGGGGAGACGGGGGGGGGGGGGGGGAGCTCACCCAGTCCGGCGCCGTAGCCTTGGGGGCTGGCATAGCGGACCCATAGCGAAGAGCTGCACAGTGGCCCCCTCATGGAAGGTGGCAACGGAGCTTCCGGGGTTCTCTTATGAGACCGGCGGGCGGGGACATGAATGGGGGAGCTGGTCGTTTCCGCAGGCGAAAGCACAAGACGAATTTTTAAAAAGAATTAAAAAAACAGAACTCTGCCTCACCGCCTGGACGGCTAGCGCATCACACTCCTCTCCTTAAAATCCCTGTGTGGTGGCGGCGTGCCGTTCTCCCATCCCTCCCTTGGGTTGTGTGTTTTCTTTCTTTCTTTCTTTAGCACACAGGCTCGACACAGGTGCGAACTGGCGCGTGCTAGTACTATCACCGGCACACCACCGGAGCCGCCTAAGCGAAAAGAAAAAAATCACCGCCGGAGGAAGGTCGCTAGACTGCCGTCCTCCCATCCCTCCCTTGGGTTGTCCGTTTTATTTCTTTCTTTTCTGCTAGACTGAGATGAGACCGCCAGGAGTTGGGATTCCACCGTGCACCGCGCTGCGAGCCTGTCGCGCCCCTTGTCAGGAGCAGGAGAGCCCCACCTGAGAGAGATTGGGTTGTCCCACCTGTGCGCCTGAGCCCTGATCGTCCTTCCAAAATCCTGCTCGTGCAGGTGAGAGAGAGTTTGTTGCAGGTGTGGACCCTGTCCTCCTCCCCCATCCCTCGTTTGGGTTTGTCTGTTTTCTTTCTTTCTTTCTTTTACTACGTGCCTCCCCGTGTTGTAAAGGAGGGTTCCAAGCCTTGCTACCAAGCGAACCAGTTTAGACCAGTTTAGACCACTGCTAAACACGAACCAGATTATCCTGTTTACGATAAACTGGGTCTAAACCGGGTATGTGGGTAATCCCCCCCCCCCCCCCCGCAGCGCACCGCCGGCACCACCGACCCCAGCAAGCTGACTGCAGAGCTTTTGCGCGAGGAGCTGAAGCTGCGGCGCGAGCGGCGAGACGATCGACGTGCCGCTGCGCTCGAACTAGCCCGTACTACTCGCCGCCCTGGGTGGTGCGTGCCCGCGCCGCGGCTCCCGACGTGCCGCGACCCGCCGCCGCCCCCGCAGCACCGCAGCAGCCGCGGCGGGTGGCGGTGGCGAGGCTCTCATCGCACCTAAGGATGGCGTGGAGAAGCTGGTCGGGCAGCGCGTCGAAGCCGTGTGGGAGGACGAGGATGGGAGCACGGACTGGTTCCCCGCCACCACCGTCGCCCATTGGCCGACCAATAGCGAGCACGACCGGCTGCTGATGCACTTCGACGAGTGCATGAGCGAGATCATCACGCTGCCCGACTTGACAACACCGTGCGCCTGACCGGCGAGGCTGTTGTTGCGCGGTGCAAGCAAGTGTGCCCGGTGTGCTGTCCGGCCCGAGGCAGAGGATGGCGGCTGCACGCTGCCGCTTCCGCAGCCAGCGCAGCCGCGGCGGCGGAGCCGGCGTTTGCGCCCCGTTTGTGCCGCGTCTGCACTCCCTCGCTCGCTCGCTCGTATGTATGTATGTAGCAAGATGAACAACAGTCAGGCTCGGACTGGACACCAACGCGGTATGGGTGGACGCGAGAGCGACAGATGATGACGACACGCACGAGCGACACACAGGCACAAACAGGCTCACAAGACACACAGCCAGTAGGTAGGTAGGTAGAAAGGTGAAGAACAGCCAGGCTCGGACTGGACACCAACGCGGTATGGGTGGACGCTGGACAGATGATGACGACACGCACGAGCGACACACAGACACAAAACAGGCTCACAAGACACACAGCCAGCTGCGGGCTGCCACACACCCTGAGTCGGCGTACACATAACTCAGGGCCACATCCTCCCTGTCGCCCCCCCCAGCACTCCACGGTGCCAAGGGCACAAACAAGGGCACAACTCAAACAACAGACGACAGGAAGTGACATGTGAGGCTAGAGCAGCTCGTTGCTCCACCTCTACAGCCAGCTGGCTGCCACACACCCTGAGTTGGCGTACACATAACTCAGGGCCACATTCTCCCTGTCGCCCCCCCCAGCACTCCCAGGTGCCAAGGGAACAAACAAGGGCACAACAAACAACAGACTCGCTCGCCGAACCATACCACACTCCGAAAATAGTCGAACCCTATACGACTGCGTGCCCAACCAATCGCCCTGGCCACCAGAGTTCATGTCCGACAGCGAGGGCGAATCTGGCAGCCAAATTGCCGCGGCGGCCCCCAAGACCTTCAAGGAGCTCGGCCTGGCGGACCCGCTCTGCGACGCTTGCCAAAAGATGAACTTCAAGGCGCCGACCGCCATCCAGTGCGAGGCGATCCCGTGGGCGCTCGCCGGCCGCGACGTCATTGGCCTCGCGGAGACGGGTTCGGGGAAGACGGCCGCCTTTGGCCTGCCCGTGCTCAACCGGCTGCTCGACGCGCCCCAGCCGCTCTTTGGCCTCATCATCTCGCCGACGCGTGAGCTGGCGCTGCAGATCGGAGAGCAGCTCGAGGCGCTCGGCTCGATGATCGGCGTCAAGGTTGCGGTGGTGGTGGGCGGGGTCGACATGGTGCAGCAGGCGATCCTGCTCGCCAAGCGGCCGCACCTCGTCGTCGGCACGCCCGGCCGGCTGGTCGACCACCTGCAAAACACGCGCGGCTTCTCGGTGAAGGGTGTGCGGTACCTGGTGCTGGACGAGGCGGACAAGCTGCTGGCGATGGACTTTGAGAAGGAGCTGGACACGATCGTCCACGCCATCCCGCGCGAGCGGAACACCCTCCTCTTCTCCGCGACGATGACCTCAAAGGTCAAGCCGCAGCGCTGACGAACCCGAAGGGTGTGAACGGCGTCTCTTCATACCTCTAGCTGTGAACAGGTCAAGAAGTTGCAGCGCGCCTCGCTGACGAACCCGGTCAAGGTGGGAGGCAGATCCCTACCTCCCCACACCCCCCCAGATCGCCCCAGATCTCGAGGCCTATGCAGAAGGCTAGTCCCCGCCCTCTGGTCCCCGCCCTCCGAACCGGCGCCCGAGGCGACACGCGCACACGGCGCTACTCCTACCGCGCTACAGCCGCAGTCTCTGTGTCCTCAGGTAGAGATGTCGTCACCCCCCCCCATCTCTCCCCACCCCTCCGTGTCCTCAGGTGGAGGTTTCGTCAAAGTACAAGACGGTGCGCACGCTGCTCCAGCAGTACCTCTTCGTGCCGTCAAAGCTCAAGGACGTCTACCTCGCCTTCGTCCTGAACGAGCTGGCGGGCAACACGGCGATCGTGTTCGTGTCCACCTGCGCCAACGCGCAGCGCCTCGCCCTCGCCCTGCGCGCGCTTGGCTTCGGCGCCGTGCCGCTGCACGGCCAGGCGCGGGACGAGACACCTCCGAGACACTTCCGAGACACCTCCGAGACACCTCCGAGACACTTCCTAGACACCTCCGAGACACCTCCGAGACACCTCCGAGACACCCGCGAGACACCTCCGAGACACCTCCGAGACACCTCCGAGACACCTCCGAGACACCTCCGAGACACCTCCGAGACACCTGCGAGACCTCCGAGACGCTTCTTGCGAGGAAGGAGGCTAGCTTGTGCCGCCTCCAGCTGTGCACGAGCGAGTTCACGCCGCATAGAGCCAACACGTTGCTGTGACGCCCCGCCCCCGCCCGCCCGGCCGCAGCTGCCGCAGCCCAAGCGGCTCGCCGCTCTCAACAAGTTCAAGGCGGGCGGGCGCTCGGTGTCAACCTCGCCGCCTCGGCCGCCTCTCCATGACACAGCGCCCCTCTCTCTCCCCCCCCCAGGCGGGAGAGCGCTCTATCCTCATC